GCCTAGGCTTCTGATCACAAAGAGAAGGAACTCATCCCTATTTTCTGTTAGCTACTATTAGAAAAACCACTAAGTGGCTGGGTGCGGTGGCTCATGCCTGTAATCCCAGCACTTTGGGAGGCTGAGGCGGGTCGATCACCTGAGGTCAGGAGTTCGAGACCAGCCTGGCCAACGTGGTGAAACCCTGTCTCTACTAAAAATGCAAAAATTAGCTGGGTATGGTGGTGGGCAACTGTAATCCTAGCCATTCAGGAAGCTGAGGTAGAAGAATTGCTTGAACCCAAGAGATGGAGGTTGTAGTGAGCCGAGATAGCACCACTGCACTCCAGCCTGGGTGACAGTGAGACTCTATCTCAGAAAAAAAAAAAAAAAAAAGGAAAGAAAAAAGAAAAACCACTAAGCATCAAGTAGATTAGGTGGCTTTGCCTAAAAAACGGCACTTTTCACCCTCCTATGACTCAGTAGTAGAGTTTTAGATGCCATCTTTTCTGGTAAAGGAAGAAAAGAGAAAAGATCATTTCACTCCATAACAAGAAAAAATAGTTCTCCAATGCTGACCAACACAAGTGATAACTCACCTCTCTTTAACTGTCTTCTGTAGCTCTGTGAAGTCTTTTCTGAGGTTCTGTACCCTGTCCTGATGCTGGGACAGGTCCAGTGCAAAGCCACAAGAGCTCAGTTCAGTGACCAGGTGCTCAAGAGTATCTAGGTTCTCCTGTTGGTCTTCCATTTCCAAATTGAGTTCCTGTCAAGCAAACAAGGATATGTATTAAATCCTCTAATCCTTATAAATATACTCTAAAAAGAAGGAAAGAGGTATGCTTGCCAGGTCAAATGCTAGATCAAAACAATAAATATGTAACTCAGTGAAAAGTTTAAAAACAAAACTAAACTTTTTTTTTTCTTTTGAGACAGAGTTTCACTCGTGTCACCCAGGCTGGAGTGCAATGGCACTATCTTGGCTCACTGCAACCTCCACCTCCCCGGTTCAAGCGATTCTCCTGCCTCAGTATTGCGAGCAGCTGGGATTACAGGCTCCTGCCACCACGCCTGGCTAATTTTTTTTGTATTAAAAAGCCCAATTTAAAAAATCTGATAGGCCGGGCGCGGTGGCTCAAGCCTGTAATCCCAGCACTTTGGGAGGCCAAGACGGGCGGATCATGAGGTCAGGAGATCGAGACCATCTGGCTAACACGGGGAAACCCCGTCTCTACTAAAAAAATACAAAAAACTAGCCGGGCGAGGTGGCGGGCGCCTGTAGTCCCAGCTACTCGGGAGGCTGAGGCAGGAGAATGGC